ATTCTTGTAACGTTCAACGGCCTGTCGATGAATCTGCCTGTCGTCGGTTCGATTCTGTTTACAACAGATCTTAGTTATTGTAATTACGTTCTATTATGCCGTAGAGCGAAATTTGAATCCAACGCGATATCATCGGAGATGCCGGGACGTCTAATAACTATTGTTCGGGGATATTCACCTAGAGCAGTTTATTAACTCGAGAGCGAATGCAGCGGCTGCACTCGACGCAGATACGAGCAAGGTATAGGGCGCGTCGGGGGCGTCTGCAGAAGTAATGGGAACTTCGTATTACGTGCGTTTTTCAACAGGTGGTGTGAATACCGGCGCGGCGAGTACAGCGAGGCGTATCGCAAACTGTAGGGAAAAAACGCTGCGCTAAATTCAATGTCTGACTTCCACCGTTTCTTCGGATCAAACTTCCATTATATATATTTTTTTTACATAAATGCTATACGCAATTTCAACGCGAGTCAATGAAATTTAAAATCAGTTCAAATCAAACCTCAGTATATAAAGTTCGGATGTGCGCTTATTTTTGTCTTTTGACTCTATCTCACGGCTATAACTATAAATTTCTAATCCACAGCAAACGATTTGCTGTCGCACCTAATACAATAGGCACAGTAGCGAAATATTTAGCTATCACAATTAATTAAATATTAGCTGTCCATATTTTACAACTGAAATTTAGTTACCACACACAATTTTTAGCTACGGCAGCTACATTTTCTTTTCCGTGTGATATTATTCCGATCGCAGGACATTGATATTCTACACGGGGAGAATTTTCTCTTAGAATTTATCCCGAAAATCATGTAATCGTGGGACGACATGGCTTCTTGAAATTTTACCATACATTCTACTAGTGAAATGTGTACTAAATATAATTACTAGTAAAATGTATAACAAAATTTGAAAAACTCACGAAGTGTCAAAATGCTATTTTACCCAACGATTACATGATTTTCAGGGTAAATTTTAAAAGAAAATTCTCTCCGTGTATAGACAACGTCCGGCGGTGACATCGGCGGGGACCAATATGGTAGGCTATCCTATTTTTTTAAACGCGCGAATCATTCGAGCACGTGTGTACCGCAGCTCCTTTGACGTGACAAATGACGGCATTTAACGATCCGCGCGAAAACAGGCGCGTTTACGGATTTAAAGTAGCCGTTCAGGTGCGCGACGTCGTCGCAGTGTACTTACGCCGCGGGGATGTTGACAAATGGACAGTTACAGCTGGCATCTCCCTCGGGATTTCGATAAATTAAACATGCCGGGAGGACGCGATTTGTAAAACGTCGCCGCGGGACGCCGGGGCGACGCTGTCGCCCGACGAGACATCGCGACATTTTTCTTCACTGTTTCTGCATTTTTGCGACGCACACGCTCGCACGCACCCGCTCGGGAGCAGGTTGGATGCAAAATATTAACTTCAAACGTGACAATGATGTAGCATTTTGTAGCACGTGACACGGTGTATTCGCCAGCTGTCAGAATTTCGGCACGCATTTAAGTGTGACGTAAATGAAGCGACACTAAATGCGTAGAAATATTCGTTCAACTTTCATTTCATCGAAGCTAATTAATGTGAAATATCTAAATCGCACTTGAATGAAATTTTACGTCTTTCAAAACTTCATTGAAAAAAATACAGTTACCCTTTAGCATTTACGTAATCGATGGATTAATTGAGTATTACTTGTGAAGTTTAAATCCCGATTTCTTCAATGACCCGATTAACACAGATATCATCATTGAGCGAGGTCTCTGCAGCACTCAAGACGCTCGTAAAACGTGTCAAACGATAACGCGTTGCTGGTACCTCAATTAGACGCAAAGGAAAAAAAAGAGAGTTTTATCCACGTTTTATAGCACGTGAATCAGCGATCTAATACATAGCTGTTTCGCGAGGGAAAAAAATGGGCGTATTTCGCCAGAGTTCCTCGACCTTCGTGTCGCACGCGAGAGAGTGCCCCGCGCTAAACGAACATCCTAAGCATCCTAAGATTTCTTTCTGTCCAGCGGCTTTAGCAATCGAAACTTTGGGGATCTGTCACCTCTCCCATGCCCTCTTCTTGTCAGTGAGTCTCCGGTGGGCGAGGACGGACACGAAAAATACTGGGGAATCGACCAATCAACGTGATAGGGTTTGGTAAACGAACCGTGACCCGAAAACGGGTCACTGACACATTAATCCCAGTCGCAGCGTCTGCCTGCGTTAACAAGCACCGACGCCCACCGACGTCCGCTCGTCGCCCTCCAGAAAAATGGAAAAGTCCGGATCTGCCGCGGTGGTTTCCGGTAATTGACGCGCGACGGCCACTTCAATGCTGTTTCTCTTACGCGGTTTCAAGCAACACATTCGTCAAACAGATGTCTTGTTAAATTGGCGGCTCTATTCTTCGCGCGTAGCGAAGGAGAAGTAACGATGGTTTTAAGGCTTATTACGACGGCTTATTACATGTTATTGCATTAGCCTATTCCATTATTATATTAATGCGATAAAGAAAGTAAACTTTGCGCTTGCGAAAGGTTCAGAGCTAAGCAAGGTATAAACTGAGGCAATAATTATTGCGTAATTTCTAAAAGAATTTCTGTTACTTCAATTTCAACCAGGAGAGAACGTAGCGACTTGTACACCGTTCTCCGCGCAGGTACAATTTCGTAACTCCGTTCGTCGCACATAACAAAGGATAAAAAACGATGGTTTCAAGGCTTATTATGACGGCTTATTACATTAGGCTACGTCGCATTATTACATCAATGCGATGAAGAAAGAAAACTTCGCGTACGCGAAAGGCCTGGAGTATATAAACCACAAGACAATGATTGCTGCATAATTTCTCGAATTTACAAGTATTTCCTAATTACTTCATTTCCAGCCAAGAGAGAAGGCAGCAACTTATTGTTTACATACCATTTCCCGCACGAAACTAATTTTTCAGCAAACAAATAATATTGCACGAAGAATTAATGCCCCAGCAAGGCCTAATGCCCAAACTAAGGCCCAAAAAATGCCTACTCTCTAAAGTGAAAAGTGAATCAGTGAATTATCACTGAAAACAGTTACTGACAATTACAGTAGTTTACTTATAACTGTAAGTCAGTGACTATTCACTGTTTTCAGTGATAATCCACTGATTGACTTTTAGAGAGTAGTAATGCTAAGTAATGCCGCAAATCTGTACACTACGATGCCCTCAGCGGTTTACCCCCCGTCTTTTATGTATTGCCCAAGCTTCAGATATAATTTTTTGAATTTTCGAGTCAAGGAAACCTCTTCTCCTAAGTACTCGTCTTTGTGTTGCTAAAGTGCGATGCGATATCAAGCGATGCTTCCACTTTGCACACGCATGCTTATTCACGGGCGGGGTGCCGTTCGCGCATCAAGAGGGAAAATTGAAGAAAACGACGCAAGTAAGAGGAAACTCGAGGTACCAGAGCCGAAGGTACTCGCTCGCCGATTCGCGAAGAGATCGTGAAACCCAATGAAAGCTAGCTGGTTCTTCGCGACCGTTACTGACGGACGAAAGACGGCGAGAAATCGTAATTTAAATGGAAAGATGCAATTTCGCCTTAATGTGACGGCTCCGACGTAAAAGTTTTACGAGCTTCCACGACGCGTCGCGTACCCGGGCGGAAAACTCGACTTTCATTCGCGCGGCATTAGCCAATTTCCGGGCGATTCTTGCGACTTTCATACTCCAACGAGCATGTACCGCGCGCTTTAATAAACTTTAAGGAAGAAAAGAACCCGAGGGAGAACTTTTCCCCCGCAATTAAAGCGACTGCCGCTTCTGCGGGCGTAGCGCTTAGGGGAGGCTCTAGAAGATGGCTGCAGAAATCTAGGTCGGTTAGTAACAGAGGCAACGGCTGGAGGGGTTGAAACTACCCTTCCTATCCACCGCTGGGTTATTATCGACCAAAAGGAACGCGTTACCAACAAGCCCGTCGAGCTTATCGGCGGCTGAAAGCTCCGAGGGTCGGTACGACAAAGCGAGGGTTGATAAAACCGCCCCGGTTGGAGTTTACTCGTCATATACTAGTCGCAGATAATCCAGAACTAATTAGTAGTCCACGTCAGACGCTTGCGCATTTTTAGTCATCAAATAATATACTGATGCTAAATAATTGATTAAAAGTTTTGCCAATTTTATACGAACAACTATTTTAACAGAATTTTGGTTAGTACCCGAGGAAACTTTTTTTTTTCGATTACATTTGTATCCGGAATACGTGAACAATTTTCTATTCAATTTGCGATTGTACGGGGCAGGAGAAGCCTGGCGTCGACATTGTGCTCAGGAAATTCAGCGGAACGAAACGGTAAATACGAGCGTCGATTGGTTTCAATGGACGGTAAAAACCCGTAACGGGAAACGAGGCAGCAACTAGCAGCGCGATCGACCGTGCGAAAACAGGAAATCAATGGAAATTAGGAAAAAGCGCGTATCCCGTTTTAATTGTCCGAATTCGCGGATTTCGATGAAGTTTCAGTTTGGGAGCGCGCGAAAAATGAAACTACCGCGCGTTCATCACGCTTGCGGTCGATCAGCGACTAAGCGCGAAATGTGCGCTACTTTACAAGTGACATTTGGCTGAGAGAACGGGGAATGGCGATGGAAGCGTTAACATTTTACGTGACCAGGAACGCATAACGGCCGGGGAACTGGCGGATATCAAACGCGCGAAGAGCATAAAGCGGTGGAAACGGCTAAGAACACTCAGGGATCCCGTAATAGATCCTGAAGAGTGATTTAATCCTATTTCCGTCGTTCTACGCGACGGCCCCGCGGAGGCGGAATGAAAAATTCCACCGCGGTGACAGAATATTCAAGGAAGTTGCGAGAATGATTAAGTGAATCGCGCGCAACATTCGCCCGCTGTTCCGGGTTTATGAAATCAAGTTAACTCAGTCTCGGGGCCTTCGCTCTTATTTTTCCCTGTCCGATTATCCTCCTTAACCACGAGCTCGCCTCCTCTTTTTTTTCTTGCAGGTTACTCCGCGGCGGCGCTCCTCGCGATCCTTTTCTGCATCCCCTTCGCGCTGAGGGTGCTCATCCATAAGGAGACCGGGGGATGGAGCAGCTGGCTCCAGGCCTTCTATCACGCTCATCTCGAGCTCTTCCTAGGGAACGGCTGCCTGGGTACGGTGAATCGCTATCGACGCAACGAAAATCCTGCGAAACGTGTACTGCGAAATTGCGCCTGCGAATAGTCCAATCGACTTGCCCTCTCCCTCTCCCTCTCTCTCTCTCTCTCTCTCTCTCTTTCCCCTCCCCTTTCTCTCGTCCATACGCATTTCTCGTCTCTCATTAGCATCACTCTCGCGGGAGCAATCGATCCCCGCAAGGGAGAGACGAAATTTATTTGCATCATCTGCTCATCGCTCGCGAAATAAATAGAAGAGCGCGCTAGTTGCGGAACTTCTCGCTCGCGGTGGAAAACTTTTGCTTCTCCGTATTCTCTCGCAAGTCTCGTAAGTTACGGCGATTAATGGTTAGAAATTCGTCCCGATCGGCGCGGTCGAAGAAAAGGAAATGGAGAAAAGGGGGGGCGCAGGGTGACGAGGCACAATTCTGTGCAGATAACGAAACGTGTGTCGCGGAAATCTTTTGATCGACGCTGTAGATATTGCGTGTGGAAAAGCACAGGTGCCTACGTGACGAAGAGTGCTTTTAAGGCCGACTCGACATAGCACTATATTCGAGAGATATAGAGGTTAATTGTATGCATAGGGGTTGGAGTAATGATGCTTCTGGCATTGACAGTGGAGCGTTACGTAAGCGTCTGTCATCCCGGACAGCACACGCGACCACTCTGCGGACCACCTCACCTAACAGTGGTGCTCATCCCTTTGGCTACATTTCTCGTTTATCTGCCGAGTGTATTTCGAGGTGAAATTACGACCTGCCTGCTGGCGCCCGGCGGTCCCCTAATCTACCAGAGGAGAGACAATCAGTCGTTTCTCAACTCGTGGTACTATCAGGTAATTCATATTTCTTTTTCGCTCGCGCAAGGTTGCCCTTTTCTAACAACTAGCGAAACTTTAAAGCCGATAATATTCGAATGTAACGTTATTAAGTCGACTGTTAATTCATTAATTAACTCTGTAACATCATTAAAGCTAATTATGTGCACAGAACGCCTGCTCCATTGATCTGAATTCATAAAAGTAACTCATGTTCGAAATGAGATCTGACATTTAAATTAAGGTCAGGATTTCTGGAACGCTCACGGCGTATTTAGTTGTGTTCTGTTTGTGTGTGCGAGCTTAAAATGGTTTACACCGCATTTAACTTGAAATTCTAATTTTACGGGCCCCTCTCGTGACGCAAACATGTATTTCAGGTGTACAAGGTGGTGCTGGAAGTTGTTTTTAAAGTGGCGCCGACAATCCTGCTCGCCGGATTCAATCTGAGAATAATGATAGTGTACAGAAGGTCCTGCGAGCGACGCCGGAGAATGACCTTATCGAGAACCGTCAGCAGCGACGAGGATCCCAGAACTTTCGCCGAGGAACGGAGGCTCATCCTGCTCCTAGGTAGCACCAGCATCCTCTTCCTAGTCTGCGTCAGTCCTATGGTTATCTTAAACGTCACACTCAGCGAGAGCAATCTCAATCATTATCCTTACCAGGTAAGGAGATCCACTCGAAATATTTCCATTATACATCGCCTTCCGAAAAACAATTTCACTGAAAAAAATATCCCGGCCTATCTAATTGGATAACCGGTTGCGTATCAACAAACGGATATATCCAATAAAATTGCACATCCGACGAGAAATGTAGTCGGTTTTTCGATGAAATTTCATCGAATACGTCTATAATTTAATCGGAAAAACCGATGATAAATTTTCCATCGAAAACACCACTTAATCGATTTATCCAATGGAAATTTTTCTCAGTGTACCGTCGAAACAATAGGGTAAGGTGACCAAATTCGGAATATAACATCGAGTGCGGATCAACAATTTGATGAGTCGCCAATAAGCGACGTTTTAAAGTATAACTCACTTAAATTTTACTCTTTCGTATATCTACAATTTCACGCTATATTGTCGATATTATAAATGGCACCGACGTGTTTTCACGTCGCTTATCAGCGATTCATCAAACTGTCGATCCGAATTTCATCACCTTACCCTACGTGTTGACCTTACCCCACGTCGGCTCTTTGCAATTTAACACGGATCAACAATAAAGTTGAATTTCAAATTAAAAGTCAATTTACGATAGCCAATTCTGCTCCTGCTCCGACTTATTATTTGCCCCCGTCGTTTTATTGCCGCAGGAACACCCGATCGGAATTTCCTTCTCCCCGCCTTCCCTCCCTGAATAATTGATTTAATTGTTCCGGCATATTCTCCCGCGCCTAACACACGACTTCATCAATTATGAATCCGTCCATTAATTCGCCGTGTTCGGTTGCAGGTGTTCCGAGCGCTGGCCAATCTGCTGGAGGTGATCAATTACTCGATCACGTTTTACATTTATTGCCTCTTTTCCGAAGACTTTCGCAACACTCTAATTCGTACCCTGCAGTGGCCGTGGGTCAAGAGCGACCAGGGCGGTAGGAGCCTGCCCATGAAACGGTCCCCGATACCGAGACCGACGACAACGACGACGACCCCGCCGACCACCACAGTCGCGACCCCCGGACATCTGGCTCGTGCCAGCGTTTAACACGGATTTTTTGCCATCGATCCTGGCGTCAACCGCTCGGTCGCCAAGCGGTGGAATAAAAAAGGGACTCGAGTCCGGCGCGCTGTAAATGTCGGAACAGTTTCGGTGTAGCGGCGAAAAAATCTGTAAAATAGCCGGGTATGCGAAGGCTACATGAGCGCGCCGAGCGTGCACGGTTGCGCGGGACATGTTTCCTCGCGTGCGTGTAGGAGTACAATGGTGATAGTAGGCTAACGAAAATTTCCCCCGGCGAGTAAACAGCCGTCGTCTTTTTCGACGGACGAAATAGTCAATCGGCGAAAAGGCATCGATTTTGTACGCCGGGCGCTTCCCACGTAATCTTCTGATTCTTACGAGACAACCTACGAGGAAGTATTCCAACTATGTTATACCTTCCCTGTACGCCGGTGAACTCCGGAAATAGTTGCAGAGTAACGGAACGGCCACATCCACGAAACACATTCCTGCGTACTAATGCGGCTTAAAGCCGGGCGTGTCTACACGGTCGCCGCTGTTAAATTTCAACGTTTGACCATTCCGGGGGTTAAATTGACCGACCTGATTAAATAGCCGATATCCGATTATCTATCTCTCTGTCGGACGACACGCCTGTGCGGCGATCGCCCACGAGAGCGGCCGTGTGTGCACGCTGAAACGCTCGACCTCGCGAAACAACGACGAAAGTATATAAAGACAGAAAATTCAGTGTAAGCCGGCTGCCCCATAGGACTCTTTCTAAAGTATAAGCTGGAGAAGTTTCTGACGTCGCCGAGCAAGTTTGCGCGAAAGCGGGGGCTCTGCGAAGAGCAGAGAGAATGGGAAAGAGAGGAGAGTACGAGTGGAAAGGAAATAAGAGTCGCCGCAATGCGTCCGTGTGCATTGCGACGCGAAGAATTTATCAGAATTCGCGTCGGGGACGCGGCGACAAGACTTGTGCATCGAGTCGCGAGCGATCGCCGTCGCCCCGTTGGAAATTAAACGAGAGAGCGTGAAGGAGAAAAAGAAGGCGGACGAGAAGAGGAGGGGGAAAAAAAATCCGAAATGTGTCAAGTACCTGATCATACAAGGGAATCTTTCCCATGGGAATAGACGAGGCAAAATCGAGGTGAAGGAGAACCGCGTTAATTCCGGGACCGCCGGAAACGGAAGGCAGGGCGCGCGCAAAGACGCCGCCGCGGCTTCTCACCGGACAGTTAAAATAACGAATAATGTCGAGAAACATTTCATCGCCGCGCGATGAATCATCGTGATTTATTTCCGTGTGAGTGCTATATAATTAAACGCCACCGAGCGCCAGTGTGAGAATTACCGTCTCGTCTTCATTGTGTTATCGGCATTAATCTTTTACACCGCGATATATCTTCGACGTCGATAAGCTACGTTCGATTAGACCTAAGCAATTTATGTACGGCGCTCGGTAACGCTTCCCCCGTTACCCCCGGGGAACGTGAATTGAATTTCACAACGAGGAGGTGCGCGCGTTGAAAGAGCGAAAAAGCGTATCGCGATACGGGCGAGCTCGCGCGAGCCCCGCTGGCATCGCCTTTCGGCGAAAGGACCGCTGCCGGCTACGATAATAATATTCCATCGAACTCTCTCCGAAATAAACCGCTGCCTCCTGGTTGCATCGCGTTTCGAAAATAGATGCTGCACTCCAGAGAGATATTCTCTCCTCCGGGGAATCGATAATTAAATTCGTCGCGCAACGGATCCGTCCGCGTTCGTGGTTCGATGGTAATATTATTTCGCTTATTTGCATACGTAAATTGCAACAAAGAATATCGCGCCCCGCCCGGACGCGACGTCTCGTTTTCGGCCAACCTTGGCGTAGGTGCGCGTCAACGAAGAAATAAATTCGGAGAAAAACGTCTGTTCTGTTTTCAGAATTTCTGCGCCCTCCCAATCCTCGGTTGTGCAAACGGAACGTGAAAGCTGTGGAGTACGCACCCTCAGTGATGACTTCTGTTACCGAGACAAACAATATTCTTGGCGCATTTATATTTCTCACGAACCTTATTTAGCATAAAAATAAGACAATATCAAAATAAAATCAATAATTATTCTCCTCTATCGAATTAAAAGAGATTGACTTACTATATTGAGACAAGAGCAACTTATATAGATGTAAGTTTAGAATAAATTGCCCCTCCATCTTACAACGCATAAAGTTGGCACCACGATATTAGACAAAAGACATACTTCATTTTATTCTAGATTTTAGAATTTCTCATTTAAGTTTCAAATATTCCTTTCTCTATAATAAATATGATTGGCGCTATATCGATCCTATTTTATGATACATTCGAGTGTAATAGCATTGGATCCGTGAATTGTTTCTGTGGGTGCGGGTAGTATAATTCACTTAGACATTGAAAAACGTCAGCTATACTCGTACAAGGGTGCTCTGACCCGTTCCCTTTTTTTCACATCCTGTATTTTTATCCGCTTTATTCCCCGAGAAGGGGAGTTGCGATCAGCGAGCGCTACCCGGAGTCCACATCGCTCGGGTCCCTTGAATCGCTATTTCCTTCGAGCAATTTACCGTTTTTTCGACGACCTGTAAAAATATCCGTGAGGTGCTTCAGCCAACGCTCGTCACGTTGAATGCGACAGCAGCGGCTTGCTGTCGAACCAGATGACGAGTACATGACGAGCGCTCGCCCGGTGTACCTAGCCTCGCGGAAGAACTCGTGCAAACAGGCCGCCGTCCAATCATTCCTTTCGATCGATTTTTGCGTCATGCGTCAGTCCGTGAAATTTTGATATTTACCGCGCGGATCGATGAGCCCTTCTCGCGTGTGAAGCCTCGCGAGGGGGATATGTAACACGCGCGTTCTTGCGATATAGAGCGCCGATTAAGCGCGACGGGCGGCGGGGGAGAATCTCCGGCGGATGGTTTCCGTTTCGTTGCGGCAAAACCACCGTTCCTGGCGCGGCGGCCGGGAGAAACGGTAAAGGGACAGGCGAGAGCAATCGGCGGGGATTTTCGCCGGAGTTAAGTGGAGGCGGTAACCGAGCCCCTCCATCGTCGGTGAACCGCTATTTAGAAATAATTTAGACCGGTGGCGCGCAGCGGTGCTTCGTTTCGGCCACTATAAATGCGCCGGGATGGGCCAAGTGCATCGCACGCGTTACACAATAACGCGCGGACAGTAAAATGGATGGGTCCTGTCATCGTTTCGGGGAGGGGATAATTTAAACGCGCGTATATCCTTCTCTCAGGAATAACGGAGAGATACACTGTGTTACAGGAGCGAGTGTGCTATGTATCGTAATAAAGTTTCGAAATACATAGGCGTCCGAAATATTTACACGGCGGCGTCGGTGTGACCATCGCCCGCGGATGTAACGGCGGATGTCACGTCCCTTTTCGCAGAGGCAAAGGAAGAGGAAAGGATACCTCCTCGATGTATGGAGAATAAAATCGCTTCGGAAGCAATACCCCACGCGATAAAGCGCCGACTGGTCGCTTCGACGGTGTCGGTTTTAATAACGCCTCTATCGTATTTTTTATATGGGACTGCGGTACATGGTGACGTGATAAATTTTGCCGGGTGATTTATGTGGTTTATTTTTCGAGAGGGAAATCCTACGCCTCGTTCGACCTCGTTTCTGCACCACGTAGCTCCCTTTGATTCAAAGTTGTCTGAATTATTTTTTTTCCCCACGTCGTTGTTGGCCACAAATCACCCGAGTTCTAGAAAATATGTACCCCGTGTCGGACGAGCGCGACAATCTAGACGCCTGTATCTATTAGGATATGCATACGTGCATTGGTATCGCAGTATCGCGTCACAAGGTTCCGTTCGTTACGATCGGGGACTTTGCAGACGTGAAAGAAAAATCAAGCTCGTCAGAGTCGGTTTTGCCGGATTTGTCAACAACCGCTCGCCGCGGATGCGGGACCCACATTTGCAGAATCTCGTGCCGCGGGCAAAAAAGTAGCGGCGACTTGGCGCGCGACGCACCGCGCTCCGGAATTTTTAGGCGAAATGGTACCGGTCGCCGGTGGATGGGGTCATCCATGGTGGGGGTTGCTCTTTGGGCGGACGCCGCTGGGTCGATACAGGGTGGCTTCGTTCGCCGTCGAAGGCACCACGGGGTGGACGAGTGCCCTGTCTATCCTTCGGCTCCTCTTTCGATGACGGAGTCGCGCGATTCCTCCTGACAAATTAACTTGTCCTTTCGAAGCGTTTCGCTAATTTGTTGTTTGCCCGAGGGAACATCAATCAAGGCCACGAAGATGGTCCGTCACGTTTATTAATTATCTCTTTCTTACGAAGGAGCGTCTCTCAACAAGTTCCTTCGCGAGAAAGGGCGAGAGCTTGCCTTAAAAAACGTCTGAGGTGTCACGAGAGCGGAATTGTTGCCACTTAATTCGTCAACGTGAAGCTCGTATAGAGGCACAATTATAAATATAAATGGACAATTAAATTTAAGGAATATTTCGGTGACTAATAATGCAAGTTACTCGGAGCGCACCAATCAAATGGAATCCCATTAATATCCGCGATATTTGAATGCAACTAATTATTCGCGTCCTCTTTATAATTAAATGCAGACGTCCGTCGCCTCAATCACGAATATTTATTTTATGTATGTGTACACACACCTAATTAATAACGCCGTTGACTGTATCCGTAAACGGGCTTATCGTTAAAAATAGTGCTGCTGGAAATTGCAGACGCGTGCCGCGAATAAACTGACGACCAGACTGAAATCCCATTGCAGATGCTTGGCCAGATTGATAAAAGGGAAACGAGTGATATCGACGGATACATGCACAGAATTACAGGAATGAATATAAAACGGCGCGACTCGCGCGCTACGCGTAACGTGGCGCGATTGGGCCACGATATTGCATAATGTAACGCGCGCCGGTAGGGCCGGGCGTCCAATAATTATTGTTGGAAATTTATTAGGGTGTAAATGGAACCGCGGGCGACCCGGATACTGGCTGCTTATATCGGTGCGCGTACAGCACGGCGCGTGCGAAATTGGCGGTCATGCAAATTGCTCGCGTGTACTTCGCTGCCCGTAGTTAACGACTCTTCCGGTCGGCCGACGCTCTAACGAAGCCGTTTCGCTCATACGCGCGCGCGTTCCCTCGCACGCCACCAGGTTGATGAAGAAGCGGCCGCGCCGGCGGTGGACACGGACACCCAGCCGGAAATAGATCGATAAATCAGAGATCCAGCATTGCCGAAATGCCATCTCACCCCCGTCCTAATTGCCGCCCCGTTGCGAAGACCCGTATGCTAACTCGCGATTGTCCTGACAGTCACAACAGAACGTAAATGAGATGCATTTACATACCTTGGAATTGCATAACAGGGACACTAGACATATCGATTGCGTCCGTAACGTGGCCGTATTCGATCGGCGGATAATAAAAGGGGATTAAGGTAAGTAAAAAGATTAAAGACTTTCCAACCTCTTGGCAAGCTAACTAATAGTTAAATTGCGTGTCTATCTTTGTTCAATCTGAAGAAAAAGCAAAGAAGTCTGTACGATTGAACTATTGGGTAACTTTCTAGAAGCTTGGAACAACCGGCCCTAAGTGTCGCCTCTGGAAGAAAGAAACGACATTTAATTGGGAGCTCGCGTCTGACACGTGCTCGCGGGATACGTAATCTGACGACTGAATTCGCAGACGGGACTCATTTAAATATATCCGTACGTCACGCCGTTTAAAATGCGGAATAAAATTAGATACATTAAACGAAATGAAGCGTACGGTACACCGTTTATCTTGCCGGGTCGTGTGGAACTTGATGCAAATAAGTGAATTAGTCGGCTTAGCATCGGCAGCGCGCGGGGGCGGTTTGAGAGCTCGTTCTGGAACTCGCGAAATTCGAATCACTCTCTCACGGGCGTGTTTGAAAAGAGACCTGCCGCTTGTCTCTCGCCTCGGAGCCACGAAGACCAGGCAAACGTGGTCAAACAAAGGACTGAACAGACTGCGTAATTCTCGTTTAAGTCCCTGGTTCGACCGCGTACGGCAAGACGAAGACAGCCGAGTTCTAGCGAAGGCAATTTACCTCGCAATTAACGCGGCTATCGCTAAAGTAAACCGCGCCGCGGACGCGGAGCGTCTCCTGCGAGAGGGCGACTGCGGAAAAATAGACGTGACGTCGCCCGGTGACTCGATTTCGCGGGTGCGAAAACTCCCGGCCGGCTGCAAGATCAAATTTTCCTTCGGAGATGGTTAAATGTATTTTTGCGAGCGACGGACTAATTCGGTTTTCTCGCCAACTTTTACGCACTTTCATAATTGCCTCACTTGTTACAGAAATATTCTATATAACCGCGCCTTTGCTCTCGGCGCTACGTTTTGACAGGGCGGGGAAATGCCAGGGAACAGGGAATAACAAAAAAGAAGATAATAACAATAAAGTGGAAAATTCAAACCGACTATATAAATCCGGGCGATGCATCGTGTATGCAGATATTCAGATTGGATATGCCGGCGCCGCAATTCCGAGCATTTCCAAGTGCGTTTTAGCGCGGATTCCATTTTCCGCTCGGAACACTACTCCGGCTCATATCGTCGCTTGTCTCGGTTGCCCCCGCGAATAGAATCATATGTCCCTTCAAGGAACGGGAGTCACGTTTCCCCGCGATTTATTTCACCGGCGAATCGAGCGGCTCTTACCGCAATTTTCGCGCGATACTCGGCCGCGCAGCCTGCCAAAATACCGCCGAGATTTTCCTCCGACTTCTTCGTCACTTCGCAGGACGAGGAAAATCCTGTTACACCGCCGGGATTTTGCATTTCTTGTTGTTTCTCACGGAGAAGGATGACCGTGATTGATGAATCTTAAAGAGAAGTTGAAGTAAAAGTACGAAAGAGCGGCGTCGCAAAAAAAGAGTAAAGAATTAAGAAATATTACAATTATGTAACAGCTACAAAACTAGTCTTGAAACAATTAGTTATTTCGCACGCGGTCGAAGATAAAACCGTAATCGAGGCGGAAACCGCTGACCAAAATCTCGCACTAATGCCCAGTGGGCATTACTTGATCTCATTATCTTATTTTATCTTTATAATGTCCTAGCAAAGCCTAATGCCTAGTGATATCCAGTAATGCCGCAAATCTGTACACCACAATGCCCTCAGCGGTTTACCCCTCGACCGTAATTAATCGTACATTTAATTGCGATTCGCCGAACTAATATTCTAAAGAACGAGGACGTAATTATCTCAGGAAGAAGAGCGCGCGTATAAAATACGCGTGTAAATAAATATAACCGCTGATAAAATAACATATCGCTTCGAGCTTTTGCATTTCCATCCCTTTTCTCGTTGGCGCTCCACCCATCCCGCGGGTGGGTGGTCGAAGATACGACTTTAATTTCGTGGAGCGCAACGAGAGAGCCTCATTCCCCGCGAGATGTATCTCACCTTCTTCTCAAATCTTAATAAAGCAGCGGCGGCGAGCCATCAAAGATGCATTAGGCAAATAAGAACGGCGCGTATTAAATAATAAAAAAAAACCTTCGACGCGGATAAATTGCGGACGAGTAATATAAAAATTAATCTGCCGTAAAGCGCGATTCGCCCAGCATTTGTCACGATACAAAAATATCATTTTCGCGGCGCTGGCATCAATTACGGCGAGCGCATTCGCTTTATCAACGTAGCGCCTCACCCGGGCGCAGATCGGGGACCCGCGCGATGGCTGAAGTTGAGGAATCGTCCTGCGGAGGAAACGGAGCGGCCATTCGCTGGGCGAGACGACATGCGGCAATTATTCACCGTGGGATCGGCGATGGCCGTAAACAGTTTGACGAATCGCGCTTTACGCCCGCGCCACGGGAATGTATCTGTTATTGTCGTCGACATTGTGTTGTTGATCGCGGCTCCGTTTTCGCGAGGGAGAGCATCATCGACGTTTTTATGCCGCGGACTGCCGGCGCGGAGGACTGCTGACGTGCTCCACTTTCGTTTACGCTTTGTTCGTTACCGTTCGACGTACGCCGCATCGAACACTTTTGTTATTACTTCAGGAGGAGGAGGGGCAGGAGACGGGGGGGGGGGAGGAAGAGGATAATGCTGTGTTTTCTAGAGACTGATACACGCTCACGATGGTAGTCGCGACTTTCGTGGCTGGTCGGTAAAGACAGAATCAAATTGCCGCAGCATCCCCCGGTGACAGTCAGCGAAAAACTACGCAAGTTTTGAACAAGGACTTCGCGCGGCGTGCTTGAAGCTATTATCACTGGGAGATAATTAGGTGTCGCTGAGAATTTATTACCGCGGCGTCACTTGATTGATTACAATCGCGAAAAAGACGATTAAAAGTAAAAAGTGTTACAAGGGAACGTCCCATCTGCGAGTCCTAAAAAGCTGTCAGACATTTTAGATTTTTCCTAAAATGTCATTTTCGTTCATTCTAAAATTTCATCATTATTATACAGAGTGTCTCATTTTAAATGATCCACGCAAATATCTCCAAAAATATGGAAGATACGGAGAAACGTTTGAAACAAAAGTTGTTTGGTTCGAAGGGGGGCATAAGGTGGTGCCATTGACTTGACCTTGGATAGTCATTTAAAGGTCATGTAAAGGTCACCTTCAATTTTTTAAATAGAACCCCCTATTGTTTATTATACCATCTTATTCTACTAATTAATATGAACAACTTTTGTCTCAAACATTTTTTTATGTGCGTAATACTTTTTGAAATATTCAAGAGAACATTTATAACTTTTTCAATGTTTAGCTTATGATATCTCGATAACTGTTTGTCGGAGGGAAAAATAGTACAGGACTTTTTTACTTGATTTGGTCTCAGGAATATGCTGTTGCAATAGTGCTCCAATTATTGACAATTTTTGTGTATGTAAATTTTGTGTATGTTGCAATACACAAAAATTTTCAATAATTGGAGCACTATTGCAACAGCATATTCTTGAGACCAAATCAAGTAAAAAAGTCCTGTACTACCCTGTATACCTCTTATGAATTACAATACGCGATGTATAGCGATTGCGTGATAACGTAAGCCGCCCGTCGAGCAACGGTGGAGGTTGAAATAAACCGTTTTGTCATCGAACCAACGATCAACGCAAATCTTTTCTTTTATTCATGGATCTGCCGGCGAATCCGCGTCGAATTCATCGCGCGGAGAACGGTCGACGCGAAAATCCGCTACCGGCGAAATGTGCCGGTATCGTCTTCGTCTTCCCTTAAGTTCCGCTCAATCGAGAAACGTTGCTTCACAGGCGCATCGCTTTTCCCACAAACCCTGCGAATTACGATAACCGACCGGTGTTCCTAAGTGATTGATCTCATCACGATAAAACACCGCGCCGAAAAACTTTGGCCGTATTTTAAAATTTTACACGCACCACTTTACGATCCGTACCCGCGCGTATCTCTCCTATTTTGTCCACGGAATAAAACTATTAATGGGCCGTAGCACGGTCGTCTCATTAATCTTTCTCAATTCTTCGGAATATTCTATTTGATAGCGTAACGGTGATTGATCTCGTCATCATGCCGTATTAAGTTTCGCATTTCTTTCTCTTGCGCTCGTTATTCGCGTGCATGTAATATTATTTCAATTTAAAAATTAAGATATATAAATTCTGGCACAGATCGTTCCCTTCCCTTTTCCTCAGTTTATCGAAAACAGCGGTAAAAATTCCAAATGCTAAACGATGGACGAGCAAAGCTGATATTTATTACAGTTGGTGATAAAGTTGGAAACAGGAGCGAATAGCGGTGTGGCGACGAGCGTGCAATAAAAGACTATGATAAATAATAATAAAAACGCGAGCTCCTCTCCGAATACGAATATTCGCCCGGGTTAATTTCATAATGGAACTTTACGGGGCGCGCCGGGGCCGAAGTTTCCCCCGAAAGCGCCAAGGGTGCTAACAATATTTGTAAGACGAGAATTATAGTCAAATGGAAGTGAAGAGGTAAGGGCATCCCGGCGCGGGGTGGGAACGGGAGGAAGGGGGACGAAGTGGTAGAAACGGATCCGCGAAAGAGACGGCGCGTGGAGAGGCGAGTGCGAAATCGAGGAAGACGGCGCGCACCGCTCGTGCGTGCGGCCGAGACGGAAAAATCGCCAGCGGGGGTGGAGAAAGGAAAGCGGGGCGGGCAGGCGGGAGGCGGTCGGGAAAATCGGGTAAAGCGAGACAAGGGTGAAAACGACGCAGAACGCGATCGACCGAGACGGCGAGAGCGTAGGTACGACGGAGCGAGAGAGGGAGAGAATGCGCGAGGAGGATCGAAGGTGGCGGAATCGGAGGAACCGCTGTGTGGACGACAGAACGGGAGGGTGGATGGTCGGGCATCCTCCTCAGGTTCGAGTGGTGCGCTTGCGCCATCGTAACCTCCAATACACTTCCACGTAATGTCATCGCCGAGCCAGTCTGACGCCAGGCGCCGCGACGCTATGACGTCACTGAACCGCGCTTCGCCGACGAACATACCTCGCCTAGCGGTTGAGAACTCATGAATGAAATCCTATTTACCATCACGTATATCCGGATAGAGTACTCGCGAGGGGACGCGCCTACGAGCACAGGTTCGCACGAACACGCGCGAGCGGGACCGTGGGGGGTTCATGGTGAACGCTGGGGTACCAATTGGATACGGGCTGGTTCGAGCCAGCTTCCAAGCGCAGCAGCATCTCTGCCCATGTTAATCGTGTCAAGTTGCGTGTGACAGAGCCAATCTCGCGCGTGCGATCGCTCCGCAATGCAATCGCGCGGCGAATCGATACGGCACGAATAGTCGGGATACCGATTCACGTCGACGAGCTTTGATCAAGACGAGCGTATCACTAGCGAATTATCGGAACGCGATATTCCGGCTATATCTTCATCAGCCCGTCCAGTGGCTAATCTCTCCTAGTGATGGTCCTAAATAGCGACGGTCCGTTGATAGCAATCGCGTGAATAACGCGCAAGATTCCTGTCCGCCAGCTTCCTCGCGCCGTCTTCATTCGGAGCCCCGCTGGCCTACGCGTGTTCTCCACGACCTATCGACGTTTCGTGCGAAAGTTGTGCGAATTGCTGGCGCGCGCGACAATTACCGCGCGCTATCGAGACCCGCGGAGACACGCAATGCTTTAGTGCACCTCTGAGAGCAGTTCTCCCGTCGATATCCGGTTTGTTTTATGAATGGGCCGCTGCGCCAGGAGAGAGTCTCTCGATAATCAGGCTACCGTGCGCCTTTCAGCGCAAACGTTCTCCAGAGAATTCGCAAGCTGGAGAAATTGCCCCCCGTATTTCCTCGTTTCGTCGCTGTCGACCGATTCCACTTTACTCGCCCTCGAATCTTTCTTTCGCTACCGACCACAGCTCGGTTACGTTGCAACGTAACGCACGCCCCGGGAAACGCACGTCCAGGTGTCACGGCACGAGGTCAAGGGTGTAGTAGCGCGACCTCGACCAGAAGTTAATCATTCTGCACAAAGCTCCATCCCCCCCCCCCTCTCTCCGTCTCGTCGCGGCCTTCGACAACTCCCGAATTTCGCAGGGCCGCCCGCTGCCGTCGCACGTCTCTCTCTCATGCAGGTCGACTTCCGCAATTTCGCCCGTGCGACGTGCGGCATGAACAACGCATGAATCAAAATCCCCCGGTATCGGGCGCGCTTAACCGAACTTCGCGGGGACGCGACGCTACGCTACGCGTCACCGCCACCGCGAACGTGACGCGAATTCGCACTGGTGGCCGACCGATCTGCATCCAGATTCGCGGATGCTCCCCGAGAATGAGATCTCGCTCGGTCGCCCGATCGCTTTCTCCTTTGCCACGCCGCACACGTCATTCAGAAGCGAGTAACATCTCCATATTAAAGGGAAGAAAAGGGGTGTCCCCCAACTTTGCTGTAACTTCATTCCACGACCCGCTCTCTTTCTCTCTCTCTCTCTCTCGTTCTCGCGCGCGCGGAGACTGCGCGTCCTATTCGTCCATTGTTATTCCATTCCAAGTTTTTACGAAGTTCCGACGACGACGACGAACGGCTTCGTTCCGAATCAGCTCACGGCGTGTCGGACCGTATTCTCCATTCTCATTCAATCTCCACGAATCGGAGCTTTTCCTTTAGACGTGAATTTTCGTTGCCTTCAATCGCGACTCAATTAATCCCGGACGGTGTGCGCTGCGAGGAGATTGCGATAGATAGAGGAAGCATGGGAAAGGGCGCGATTCATTATTCACAGGCACTAATGACGTCGCGATAAATACGCTGATATAACCCGACTCCGTTTTTCTGCTGTCACATAATCAATTCGCGCATCGCAACTGGACGAGTAATTACTTCAATATCTTTTTAGCAACACTATTGCTTCCCTCGATTGTCCCTTACTGCAATTTGTCAAAGGAGATTGACCAGCTGCCCAACTATTAACCTAATAACTCGCTACTTTGCAGATATTCAAAAAGATTAAATTTTTTACAATTACTCCACCTTCGTTATTTTCACTTCATATTTTGCTGCTTTTTATTATCAGTTGAAAAATCTGAGTACCGTAGCGAAAACTCTGGCGGTAAACAAAAGGGGAGGGAGAAGAGAAACATTGTAATAACAATTAATCGCTTCAAAGAATAACGGCTTGATATTATATTCTTTCGTGACAGCCGGAAAACGATAGGATTAAAGGAGGTCGTAGCGGAACAAGCGAATCGCGACAGTGAGAGCTAAGGAAATACATTTAGTGGAAATTCCGTTTAATCCCAGGATAAGGTTGGAGATATCGTAACGCCGTTGGCCTTTAAAGCCCTTCACATAATAGCCTAGAAAGGATCGGCTAGTGCAGGCTCCGAAAGTAGCATGTATCGGTCGCCTGGTCTTACGACCTTTGAAACTTTAATACGCTCGACTTGAGGCAACATTGTATCTTTGCATGTGACATTCATTCGCGTTACACTCGGTATCTCGTCGTTCTCGAAAGATAAAAATACGTTCATCGCGGGTAGTTGACGAATTCGCTTAGTCTTTGGGGACGAGTTTCTCAACTACGTAACCGCCTCGATGAACTACTGCAACGTTTCCCAGCCCTCTCCGAGTTCGTCTTAATTTTCCGATACGATCTTTGCGAATTGAAGTTCATCGGCGCATTTCAAAACTTCATCGAAGGGACCAAGCGGCGCGATTAATGATTCCGCGAAACTTATTGCACCGGAAAATTGTCGCCTCTCGCTCCCGATGCCCGCCTGCAGATCGCGGTTCAAACGTGGTTAAATTTCTAATTTCTAGCTGTAATCTTCGCGGCGACGCCTCAAAACGAGCGCATCGGGTGCGAAAGAAAAATGGGAGGCTGCAATCCCGCGACTGATTCGCGAGAGGGCTCGCGCTCGTATTAAAATCCCCCCTTGTCTTCTCCACAGAGAAAGCAATATCGTCGAAAAGAAACTCTACGTGGAAGGTATATCAACGAATCGACGCGAGTGATACCGTGTTGTAATTAAATCGATTAAGCCCTCCCTCTTCGCCCGCACATCCCGAGCGAATTAAATCAAACTCTATCGTTCACGATTCGGTCGCCGCGCAAATTTATCAAGAAGCCCGGAACGTGGTTCTCCCCGAGAGAAAAGTTGTCGCCGTTCTGCAAAACACCACCGCTTTCAGATTGAATTCACCGGCGAACTTGCCGAAGCGGAGGGGAATTGGAAGACTTCGGCAGGGGCGCAAGGGTTTGCCCCCCGGCAGGCAGGGAAACTTATCGAGTGGAATTCGATAGAGTATCTTCGCGGCTACGAAACAGGAGGAGTGAAGAAACTCGGCGGGGAAACGGGGTCGCGGGGATAAGGCAATTGGTGTCTCGCGCCCCGAGAAACTCCATCGTCCAGCAAATCCTTCCTGTCTTCGTAAACCGTCGCGGGAACCGGTCGTATTCCGGTCGTATCCCCGGTGCACCCGTCGGAACGTAAGCTTCGTTCTGTCGACTGCAATTTGGCGAAATTGAGAGATGCGAGGCGGACGGTGAGAATCCGCGAGGAAAGAGACCCAACGTAGAGGCAGAGTCTCCGACTCGGCGAGAGGAGATTGGTGTAACTCGCGCGCGTTAGACCCGTTCCAGATTACGAGGATGGGTAAGAAGAATAGCAAGCTCAAGCAGGATACCATCGATCGCCTTACCACCGACACGTACTGTAAGTAGCAATAACCTTCTTAGTCGTTGTTACGCGCCGGTGCTATCGCCTTTATCGCATTGTTGTTGTGCAAGTGCGTGCGAAATCGCGCAACCGGCGGATTATACCACACACAACGGAGGCGCGTGTCCCTGATTATCGCGATCGTCGTAAATTTCCGGTTGCTCACACGATATATTTCCGTGTTCGCCGGTCGTAAAACGCCAAGTTAAATCGTCTGGCGCGCCCGTGACGAACGGCCGCGCTTCTTCCGGGGTGGCAACTCTTGAAAAAGTGGGTCTTCCGAGTCGCGGATTCTTCCGAGCGAACTGCCGGGTGGATCGCGGGACGAGAAGGCGGGCGCGGGTTTTCTCCGCTCTCTTCCGACTGACCTACCGTCGTTATTTTGGCCGTCCAGGTAACCGCAGCCTCCGGCGTTGAACGACTCTCGCCCTCTCGCTCTTCTTCCCCTCTCACTTTCCTTACCCATCTGTCTTTCTCTCCGCATTCCCTCTGTCTGCACGTTAAACGTGCATCGATCGCACGGTCGTTCAATACGCGCCGCAACGACGACATACCCTCCTTCATTCGATAAAACGCGTTTAATCCATTCCACAAAGTTTGCCTGTCGGAAGCAACGGCACACCGCGCGCTTCCACGCCACGTGGCTTTGTTTCCGTTGAACGAGTGCTCGATTCGATAGCGAGCGCGACGCGACGTCTACAACCGTCGACTTCTATTTAATCTTTCAGTAAAAAGTTGTGCAATACGGTGGCTGCATTTACGGCTAAGTCTAATATTTACACCATGCGGTTTTACACCAAGCTTGAATAGTCCATAGAACAGCCGTAAGGACGGACGGTAACGGTCAGTAAAAATCATTAAAAACGGCAGCGAGCGATGAGCGCGGTCCCCGACCTTGCGTAACGCGTGTATAATTCACACGTGAAAATTGTCGCGCTGTTAACGAACGGCTAAAATTCCCAGCGCGCAAAAAATGTACGGCCGGAGTTCTCGGTGGAATTATTCGAGTGAAAATGCGAAGGGCAGGTGCGTTTGTGGCCCGGACATTTCCAAGTGATTACTCTGCCACCAATGATTTCGCGTGGACCCTTATTAGGATTTTCGCCCTCAGCGCTGGCAGGCCGACGCGACCCCGTGCGCAGGCAGATTCGATTAATAAACATCACGCACGGGAACGCGCGAATCGTTCGACAAACATTTTTGTAAAGCGATTGATCTGAGATTTCAAGTCAACATTTTTCTATGTCAGCGCCCTTTCTGAAACCTCTCGTGACATCGATCGTAACGTGATTAATGATAAGGGGACATCGGCCCTTGTACACCACATTATTCGGTCGTTTGTTCATATCGCGCGGGAAAATAATTATTATAATAGATGGAAATATATCGGCCTCATAAAAGTCTCTACCTCCGTTTCTTGCAATTTGCATTATTTCCTACTTTTCATTTTCGCTTACAACACGTAAAATTTATTAGACTTGTGCGCGCTCTCCACAGAAATTTCCACAGAAACGGGCACGTGTTAAAGGAAAACGACATCCCTGTTTCGCACTATGCTGATAGTTTCTAATTAGACAAAATTGTATCATGTTACACAGTTGTTCGCTCGTGTCGTACAGAAAATAATTACTATAACAGACGCGAATGTATCATAAAGTTGTACCCTTATTTCTTAGTTTTCGCTGAGGGGGAAACCGCCGACCAAAATCTTGTACACCAATGCCCACTAATGCCCAGTGAGCATTACTTTATCTTATTTTATCTTTATAATGCCCCAGCAAGGCCTAACGCCCAAACTACTCTGGGGCAAAAAGAGACGGCAACCCGTTTTAGGGCCCACAATTAGTAATCGAATTATTTGGATTGTTCGTAACTCTACTCTGGGAAAAATTTTGACCGTGACAGTGAAAATTATCTTTGCGTTACTGAATATCGACAGAGAGAATTGATAATTGAGAGAATTGATTAGTATTACTTTAAAATCTTGCACAGTTGGAAAATTTGTGTTTTCTTGTTAAAAAAATGCCGGTTAAAATTTTTGTGTTAAACGTTTTTTGTGTTAAACGTAAAATTATTAAAATACGCGAAAAGAAATGTTAAAACAACGCAATGTATACTAATTTTTTTATCTTACACAATACATATGTTCTATATTATCAGTAACAAGATTTATCTGTTAAAATTTACAGAATAAAATGTCAACTTTATTCTATACATATAACATGAGTTAGAGTGATTTCGACTCGTCAATTGACTTATTACATCTGTAAAATGTAGAAATTATATTTTTGTAAATTCATTTTGTCATTAAAAATATGTTAATTTTACACAAAATTTATTTCAAATTATTTTGAGATTTGCATTTATTTTGTATTAAAATTTTAACAGCATATTAGTGTGATCATTGAGCATATTCATATTATGTTAAATTAACACAAAAATTTGCGTGGACGGTTTGGGACATGTGACATCTGTTAAATTTAACACAAATTTTTCAACTGTATGGATATAGATAAAATAGCTAATTGCGATTTTTAGTTACGCGGGGTAAAATTGGTAAAAGATTAGAGTTAAGAACAATCCAAATAATTCGATTACTAATTGTGGGCCCCAAAGTAGGTTGCTAACCATCCAGAGTAATGCCCAAAAAATGCCTAGTAATACCTAGTAATGCCCAGTAATGCCCAGTACCGCCAATCGGTACATCACAGTGCCCTCAACGGTTTCGCCCTCGGTTTTCGCTTACAGTACTTATAATAAATGTGTACGTTTCCCACAGAAATCTGAAGCATAAACTGAACATTCCTATTGCGCATCGTACTGACAGTTTCTAGTTAGACAAAACTATGTCAGATATAGACAAACGTATATACGGGATCTCTGATAGTCCCACTTGTCATGACTTATTTGCCTTTGAACTTTAATAACCATCAATTTGTCAACTCGACCGACCGGATGACCCAGTATAATAAAAAGTTGCGTTTGCCGAGGGATATCACGAAGACCAACTTTATTAAACAAGTAGGCTTCTCGCGGATTTGCGCCTGCATCAATAATGCGTACCAACGTATTCCATCACAATGTTAACACGTCATTGTCGACGTCATCGCGCTTTGATCTCGAAAATGACGTAAATTGCGCGGGGCCGAATGTAAAGTGCGCTGCACGTGCCGCACGCTTACGTGAACGTCTACCCCGTTTTCAAACAAGGTATTATTGATGTAAAATATTAACTTCGCCCGAACATGATCGTGTTTATCGACACGCGAGGAAGGTGACCAGGTTTCAATCAATTCACGCGCGTGCTTGTTTCGCAATTAATAAAATCGCGATAAAGAGGGCTGGAATAACGCTTGCGTCACCACCTCGCCGTCGGCCACGCCTCGTCGTAACGCAAGATACGAATTAATTAACCAAGCTGCTTGCCGAAATTGACTGAAAGTTAAAAGCGCTTTCGGCGTTTATTATGCCGTAACCGTGTTGAGTCGCGTCGACAAAAAAAAATGTAATCTCGTCTGACAATATTCTCCGGTTTCCCGCTTTTCTTTCAAGCACAGAGAGTGGTTCAGCGTGCCGTAAAATTCGCACATCGCGCTCGTTTACCATCCCGTTTCCGCTATACCCGTGTATGGGAATAATCCAGGTGCAACTTTACGCAGACCGCCCCTAACGAACATCAAAGCAGGGCTTTGAATTACTTGCAGTTTCTCCAACGACATACTGTTCGCTTGTTCGTAGCGTAGAAAAAACCTAATTTCGGCTACTATCAATTTCAACGGTTCGTTTAAATTGCTTGCGATCAAACAATTTTTAAACATTGACATTTAATACACGACACGAAGCCCGGTAGGCATCAACGCGACAATGATTTTCGTCCAATTTATAATTTCCATCCAACTTATAAATGTGTAAAATAAATTTTGATAAATAAATTAATATTCAGTATTCATGTTGCGTGGGTTAATTTTATCAATGCTTTTACAAGTACACTGTCTGCAATATCTTGTAAAGATACAAAGATGTCCTGTAGTTTTATTAGCTATAATTGAATAACGGTAAAATAAGGTGTAAAAAGACCAAGAAAATAATATTGACCATGCGATCCCTCTTGTCTCAACAAATTGAAATTAATTTTCCACCTCGTATCCCGTGTACAAGACGACTAGTACTAATGTCAGTTTTTATACCCCTAAAGCAAAAGACGCTGGAAAGGATCAACCAAAAAGTCCAGGCTTGATGGATGGTTTCAGTCTTTAGATAGCCAGACGCGAGGTTCTCTTATCTACTAGAGCACCGTGGATACATTTAGAAGGGCCTTTGTCGAAGATAGGCACGCCTCGGTGATCAGCTGCGAGCTTGAAAATCTTCCGCTCTCACGTCTATTATTCCGCCTGGCCGGGCAGACCTTTCAATGATTCGCTTCTTCGATAACTTCCGATTCGCGCACGACTCGTTGTCGGGAGGCGCAACTTCCGAGGGCGTTCTAAGAGTCCTCTAAGGAAACCCCTTCGCGGAAATTCGCCATGGATCGCGTCGTTTGTGGCGACACGTTCTATCCGGCATCGGGATTTATATATATATATATTTATTATTTACGCGAAGGAAAAGCCGCTAAACTAGACACGCTCTTGAACTTTAATTGCGCTCGCCGAGAGTAGACTTTTACGGGAACGAATTTAAACTGCGCGTCGCTTTTAGCGTGCTTAACGCGGCGGAAAATACCTGTCTTATCCGAAAACCAATTTGGGAGCCCGCAATTTCTGGACAAGGCGATCGATAGGAGAAAGGATTTTCGTGAATACCCCCGTAAAAGTTTCCATGAGCGCACGAGTGGCTTCACAGATAGATCGGAGTCTGGAAAATGACGGCACACTGACCTCATACGAAATTCAATCTGAGATTAGAGAGCGACCCGATCGAAAACTTGATATCGTTGTCCGCCCGACAGTTTCTCTTGTCGAACATTACAAAACGAAATGCTACAAAACGAACGTGAA